AAATGTATTGATATGCAGTACTCATGAACAACATTAAGTGCTTACAAATAGCAGCAAACTCCATTATTTGTACCAACATTTTTAAGCATTCAGAACTGAAACCAATTACCTGGATAATCCACAGCTTAAAAATCTAAGTTACATAAGAAATACACAGGACTTCACAGGATAAGCCATAGCTTAGAAACCAATACATTAACACACTGCTGTCTCAAATGAGGTTACCCTGGACTGAAACATTTATGGGTAGTCATAGAGATAGCTATAACTGTATAATTGCATCACCACACTCACTGAATGGGGGGCTGGGTGGAGGTTCCACTTGCAACCTTCACCACATGTTTCTCCTAATGCTACCAGAGTCGTCCTTAAGCGCAGGTCACACTATTGCTTATTCATGAGTCAGTTCTAACCTGACAGATAAAACAATTGGTCAAAATCATCTTGCTTAGTTATAAACATAGCACTAACAGTACAGTATAACTTTTGGAAGCAAATTGCCTTATGTCTAGAATCCACAGGAGGTATTATCTGCTCTGTTCTGCATCATGTGACTCAGCATCCAACAGATAATATCTACAGTAATTTCTTAATAGGAGGCAATTTACTTCCCAAAGTTACGTCATTAGCATTACACTGACATAACGAAACAGCAGGATTCTGGCCTTTAAGTTTGCAGCAAGAGCCCCATGAAACACTACTTTTTGTATCAAACAATTGCCCCAACAATAGAGCTCCATCTGAAATATTTACAATTATATATATATAGTGCACCTGTAATATATTTCATGAGCCAATATTGGCGTGTATTTTGTAATTTTCTTATTATATACACATACCTATACTTGCTTGATATGTCTGATAAACGAAATGACAGTCCAGAACTGCCCATAGCAACAGAAATCACCCACTTAGCTAGTAGGGCAGTGCCTCATTTTAAAATAGGCAGCACTGTTTAATGTGAGTTATTGCTGTTCACTGCAGTAACTACTCTGATCAGGAAAAAAAGGGTTCCATTTACTAAACAGCTTGCACCACAAAACATATAAAGGGTGTCCTTTATCTGAAAGCATTCCTCAGGAAATTTCCCTTCATATGGAAATCTAGCAAGTCAGGAAAACAATAAGACTTTCCTTGACATGTTAGGATCTCCAGCACAAGCCACATAATGTTTCATCCTCATCCTGGCAAGAAACTGCAGATACTAGACTTACCCCTATCAGTCTGCGTCTAAGGAACAAAGACCACCTTGGGCAAAGGGGGACAGCAATGCATACTGTAAGTGAGCATAATGCATAATCAATGATGATATAAATGTAAAGCAGGACTGCTGGCTAGATCTGAAGCAGTACACCATGGGCTGAAACATAGGAACAGATTATTGTTCTACAGAAGCCAAAATCCCTGTACAACCTGTTATTTTCTTGATCAGACGGATGCGTTTTAGATCCTTGCCATTCAGGAGTCCTTACAATATCAAAATGGTAGCCCTTCATCTAGAGCAGTGGTTCTCTAACTTGGGTCACCAGCTGTTCTTGGATTACAAGTCCCAGAAATCCTGGCCAGCACAGCTAGAGGTGAAGGCTTCTGTGAATTGCAGTCCAAGAACATCCGGGGCCCCCAGTTTAAGAACCACTGATCTAGTTCAGTGGTTCTTAAACTGGGGGCCCCGGATGTTCTTGGACTGCAATTCACAGAAGCCTTCACCTCTAGCTGTGCTGGCCAGGATTTCTGGGACTTGTAATCCAAGAACAGCTGGTGACCCAAGTTAGAGAACCACTGCTCTAGATCAGTGGTTCTTAACCTTGGGTTACTCAGGTGTTTTGGACTGCAACTCCCAGAAGCCTCCATCAACAACTGTGCTGACTGAGGTTTCTGGGAGTTGCAGTTCAAAAACACCTGAGGAACTCAAGGTTAAGAACCACTGATCTAGAGCATCTGGCACCACTGGTTGGCTTTAAATTGCTTCCCTTGCTTTGTCTGAAAGATATTTCCAGACTTTGATGACTCTTCACCCAAAAATGGAAAATTGAGGTGGGGGCGGGCAACAACTGTCAGGATTTGTTCCTTTAAAGTGAACAAGGGGTTAAATTTAATATTGTAGTAAAGAATGCAAAGTCATGCCTGTAACGTCAAGTCAATGGATGATTGATGGCATGCTTGTCAACCACGTTCACTGCTTTGTCTGCAGTGATAGGCTGCTCTCACTATTTAAGCAGGTGAATGAGAGCAGCACTTTGCCACTCAGTTGTGAGTCTGCTGGTCATTACTTGAATGTGATTATTATGTTGCTCTGAGATATCTGTGCCAATGTATATATTGCCATGCATATATGTCTGACCAAGTCTAATATATTTTGCTATAAGTATTATTAGAACTCTCTCCGTGTATTTTTCTCATATGTCCGCATCTTTACTCTGCTTATTAAGAGAAGGATTTGAAGCTACCAGATAAGAGACTCTGTGTAACTTGTTATCTTGGGCTCCAAGGTTTGTTTTTTCCTAACAGAGTGCTGGCCAAACCCCTTCCCCAAAACCCAACATCCTAATAATATATTAGGTAACTAAGATTTGCTGTCATTCCTTAACACCACAAATTAGCTGCCTGAGATAGCTGCCCCAATCTGTCTAGTAAGCGGGGCCGGCACTGAAAATAGCTTCCCAACATATGCACAGTGGTACACTCCGTAAAGAACCAGAACTCATTCTTTGTCTGCTACTACATACAATGAAATGATATTAATAGACAAATATAAATACATGAGATCATATTTGTCAGTGTAATGTGATGTTGTCTTTTCTCTTGAAGCCCAATAAACAACAAACACTTCCACAATCCAGCAACCAGATTTCCTCACAAGTCTGGGAAATATTCTCTGCACGTCTGATTTTGTGAAACTCCATTTCACATTAAACAATTTTAGGACGTGGTGCACTTTGATACTGACGTCTTTCTCCATATCAAAGCTGACATAGTCCACAGTATGGGGTGGATGGGTGAGTGGCTTGGCGTAGTAAAAAAATGCATTTTAAAAATTATTATAATTTTATTACAGCACGATGGAGAAAACAAACACTAGAGGGATTTTACCAAAGCAAACTTGATCTCTCCTTGCCATGTGTATAATCTAATTCAGAATTAAACAAATTATTTTGCATTTGAAAATTGTAGGGGATTGAAAAATGCTTTCAAGCTGTGAAGTGTATTTCCCCAATGGCTTTTTACGCTCAAGCGCCAAAAAAAAAAGATCACTTGCTAACCTTCCATAAAAACAAAAAAAAAGGAAACTAGCCAGAAGCGCTAGTCCTGCAACATTACACAGGAATCCATCAGATGCTGGAAACGTGGCCTTAACATCCAACAAAATTGTTTTATGGGCCTGTCTTATCGCCTGACTGCAAAAATCCACATAAATCAAGAATACCCATAGCAAAGCCTAAATGTGAGTAACTGAGTTTCCTCACAGTCATCCCTTGCTACTCTTCCCTTAACCCTTCCCTTCCCTTCTACTCTATCACCGCTGCCAGACATTAGGTTTTAATCTCCTCAGGGACATGGATTCACCCTTCTCTCCTATGCTATGTTGCTTTCCCAGGTTTTTCCATGCAAAGCCTTGAAGAGGTGAACTAAAACTCCAACACTGACTGGGGGGGTTCTGAGGGCTGAAGTCCAGAAAAGTCCCCCCCCCAGCAAACCAGAGTCACTCATGCCAGCAGCAAAACTAACGCTGCCGTGATTTGGCTATGGTAACACATGCCTCAGTTAAATCCCACTTGGATTACTGTAATGTAGTCTATGTAGGGCTTCCTCTGCAACTAATCTGGAAATTTTGTCTGGTTCAAAATGCCATAGCCAGGCTGCTGACCCACGCCAGTTGTTGGGAAGATATCACAGTTTCATTGGCTGCCCATCTATTTCTAGGTCCAATTCAAAGTGCTGGCTATGACCTGTAAAACCATGTAGAACTCAGATCCAAAGACTGTATCTCTCCATTTGAGCCTTCTCATCTCCTAAGATCTTAATGGAAGGCCCTTCTCTAGGTCCCCTAAGCCTTCACAAGAAAAGCTGGTGGGACTACAAGAGACAGCCTTCCCTGTGGCTGCTCCACCTTTGTGGAATGCCCTGCCTCAGGAAATGAGGCTGGGCTCCCCTCTTGCATCCTTCTGGCACTAGGCAAAAACATGTCTTCTAAAAAAGCTTTAAATAACCACACCATCCATCAGAGGTAGACCTTTCCCAAGATGGTAGGTAGGATTTTTAGGGATGCTTTTAAAGGTGGTTTTAGAGATTGTATGTATATATATATTATAACTTCACTGTTTTTAATGGCGTATTTATTGTCCTTTTAAAGTTTACTTATATTTTTAATTACTGTGAGTGGTTCTGGGACTCTTTATGGCATAAAAATGGCAGAAAAATAAAAATGAATCTAGCCGTCAATCATACAGGCTGAGAACAGACCTGTGCAGGATTTTCTCACACCTACTATGGGCTAAAGGGATTGTGTGAAACGATCCATACAAACAGACTTGCTTTCTCAAATTGTAAATATCCGAGGCCTCATCTTATACATTGGAATTTTCAACCTTGGAAGCTCCGCACAGTCCATTACCTAATGAAATTATGTTGCAAAGTTGATCCCTGACATTTTGCCTAATTATTTCCTCATCCAAATGGACTTGGACTTACCCTCCAAGCTCCACTAGCAATAAACAGCAGACCAGGCATACAAAAGGTTACTAGAACTTTTATATACAGTACATATATTGAAATGGCTTTTTATTCCCTCTACTGTGGTCCATTTGCTACAGCACATCTTTGTAGGGTTTAAAATGTGCATGCCTTTACCCATTATTAGTCTTTCCTTCTGAACCCGCTTAGTCGTTTGCTGATGAACCATTAAAAAGCAGAAGTCTCAAAAGAGGATCTAAAGGTTCACTTAAAGCAAAACAAAATATTAAAATGCTGCAGAATATGAATATGTCTCTCACTAATCTGGGTTATGAATCTAAACCTTTCTGGTCAAATTCATCTAAACCCATGTTCAGTGCAACTTCTCTACTCATAATTTCAAACACTACTTTGAACTGTTCCTGTATTCCTATACAGATGAACAGAAAGAACAGGAAACGTTGAATTGGCAGTTCTGTGATATTAATTCATAGCATCACTCTATGGACAGTGTTTTACTGGCTGACAAGACAGAAGCTCCCGTCCCCAAGGAGTCCATAACTGGATGTACATTGCAGCCAAAGCAATGGAGGAAGCGGGGCTACATAACAGCCAGTGCAAGCAGGATATGAATATGCCTTCAGCACAATTGTTGTTACATGCCATCAAGTCACCTGTGATTTATGGGAACCCTGCAAATGAGCAATCTCCAAAATGTCCTGTCCGCAACAACCCTGCTCAGCTTTTGTAAATGCAAGTCTGTGCTTTCCTTACGGAGTCAGTCCATCTCATATTTGCTCTTCCTCTTTTCCTGCTGCCCCCAGCTTTTCCCAGCATTATTTTTTCAACAGAATCCTTCCTTCTCATAACATTATTTTTTTCAACAGAATCCTTCCTTCTCATAAAGTGCCCAAAATAGGACAGCCTCACTTTCATCATTTTTGCCTCCAGAAAAAGTTCAGACTTTGCTGTACCTGGACTGCCACAAAGATGAAAAAAAACAAAACAAAATAAAGGAAGTGTCCTTTTCTGCTTTGCAGCACATCCTTTTGATTGCATAGTTCTAACTTTTATTTATATATCACCACATTAGTGCAAGCACAGCTCTGGATGGTTTAGAGGTTATAACTTAAAAACTCTCTAGACCCCACATAACAACACACATTCAAACAATATAGTAATATACAACTATAAAGTCTAAAATGCATACAACGAAAGAAAAATAAGAACAAAATTACAGCATCCTAGAGATTCAGTTATTCTAACCATTTCCTGAACATATGGAGGGAAACAGCCTGGAATATCTTAGTTGGTGACGTGTTCCAGAGACTGGAGGCCACCATCAAAAAGGCCTGATTCCTTCTCATCACCTCTTCTGGCATCACTTGATGTGGCCACTTATAAACAAACAAGAGACAGCTTTCTTTTGTGCTGTAACAGCAGTGTTTTAGTTACTGTTATAGCATATGGTCTCACAAAACGGCAGAAGGGGAAAGGAATGTTATATGTGTCAAATGCTGGCTTGTGGTGCCTCTTGCAAAGTGGACTGTGCTTTGTACTACTGGCCAGTGACTTGTGATTTTTTTAAAGGAACTAACAGCAATTGTTTTAGGTACTAATGAGAAATAGGAAATTCAGCCTAGCAACGGAACTCTGTAGCATGATCTACACTATCGAAAGCCATCTGTTCTACTAAGAAAGAGTATTACATGCCCTCAGAATGTTCATAAGAAAACAGATGAAGTGCTGAAACAGGAAAAGTATAAAATTAATAGGTCCCCCATTATTCTTTGCAGTCCTTGGCAGTCGCCCTGATTGACCAAAGAGGGGGAAGAAGCAGAAAAGTCACGGATGAAATAAAAAGCACTGACGCTGGTGAGCATGCATGAGCCTGTGTTAGACACAAGCAGAGGGGGAGCAAGCCATTTCTTCCAGGCAAAGAGCAAAACAAGATAATCCATAATGAAAAAAAAATGTATGTTCTCCAAACTACTTCCTCCGTATTTGTTTAGAACTATGGTCATGTTAGCAGAACAAAGAAAAAGCACAACAATTTGGCAGGGAGATAAGATGTTTTCTTTTTCTCCCAGTTCAACAGCAATTTAGATTTGAAGTGCTATTTCTGGAAGAGAAATGGCGTCTGATTCAAGCACACTGATTGAAGACTGGAGTGCAAAGGTACAGTGCAGCCTTTTTCAATTATCAGCTATCTGTCTGGTTTAATTGTTTCTTGTGCTCAGAAGCTGGCAAGGGACAGCCATGCCTTGTCTTTGATATACTCAGACCACGTGGATCTTCTGCCTGTCCACAACAAGTCGGAACAGGAATCAGACTGAAACTGCAGTTTACAAATGTTTACAGATATAAACCATCCTGTAAAAACAACACTTCATAAACAAAGAGTGATGAGGAATTTCTGTTTAACTAAGGGAAGAATTGTGGTGTCTTTTAACTAGAAGGCTTTCTCAGCTCCCCATCGTAAAGCAGTGCTCTTGATATATTAGGTTAAGTGTGGGGCAGACAAGCCTCTTTGGCACCCTGGCTGCTCTCCTTTGAACACCTGCGTAGAGGGAGACATCGTTGCACAGCTTCCACAGATTAAAATATCCATCTGCTTTAACTCTTTTCTCTCCAAAACCAATCAAGAAATAGAACGCGATCTTCTGCTTTACAGTAATAGCCTACGTAAATACTGAAACTCATGGAAGCAGTTTGGAGAAACACAGAAAAATAAGTAGCCCTGCGTCTGTCAGGTTGCAAGTGGGGTGGAAAAAAACCCTAAAGACATGCATACATGAGATATGCATGCATGCATATTTTTTTATACATGATCATAGTTTATGCTAAATTATTCTGACTCTATGGATGGTATATGGCAGGATGCTTGCCTGAATGCAGTGCTGTTCTACCTATCCGGATGGACAGCTCATTTTCATATTGCTGATGATGCAGGGGTTGGTCTTCGTATTTCTCCTTTGCCACTCTTGAATCACAGCTCAAAGCCAAGGCTGTATACGGAGGTTCACTGATACCCTGAGAAAGAGAAAAACAAGTCATTCTTTTTGAATCTCTCTTTAAAATAAAAAAGTACTGTTGCCTAATTCCAAGCTCTTTATCAGGAACACTCCATCTGAAAAGTTATTTGAATCGGTTCAGGCGGAGCAGACTTTACTATTCTTTTTAATTCAATTTATTTGCAAGGCATGTGGTCAAGGGTTTTCTCAGTTGTCAATGTTAAAAACTTTTACAGAAGAGGCTGACAGATACATTCGGCATGGGCACTGTCAGAGAAGTAAATGGTTCACATAACTCTGTTAAATCACTGGTTCTTAACCGTGGGTTACTCAGGAGTTTTGGACTGCAACTCCCAGAAGCTTTCACCACCAACTGTGCTGGCTGGGGTTTCTGGGAGTTGCAGTTCAGAAACATCCGAGTAACAAAGGTTAAGAACCACTGTGTTAAATGACCAGTAAATCTTTAAAAAATCATGCAACATAAACAGTGAAAGAATTATACCGCTGAATATATAATTGAAGATACATATGTTGTCTATAGTTCCATTTTTCAAATACAGTTGCCATCTAGCCTGGAATATATTCAGTTCTACTACTTCTCCATATTATTTCATAAAACCATCTTGCAATAAATAAAACTTACAAGACAAATGAATAATTCAAAATAAGCCACACTAAGAACTGATGCATACAACCTCGGAATCAGCTGTGTCCCTAGAGAACAAAGAATAAAACAAATGCACACTATATTATTGAAATAATAATGAGATGCTTAATGAGTTAAATTCACTAATATTTTTTTAAAAAAACACTGAAACGAACACAATCTTCAACTCTCTTCATTTGCATAATGTATTCTGCCTAGTGGTGTTCACACTAATTGCATATTTGCTGGCTTTTTAAAAATGTGGTTTAATCAGGATGTCTCCACTTCTGCTAAGCCCAGCAATTAAAAAACTGCCCTGCCCTGCAAGAACAGATTGTGATCTCTGAATAGTCTCTTTTTATTTTTAACAAAAAGTACCAGGGCAGGTACATGTCTGCATTTTCTTCCTATCTTTGCATTCTTCACCTGCCTCACAAAACAACATTCTGACCTGACCCCAAATAAACGAGTACCAGTACCCAAATCATTTCAATTAAAGGGAAAAGATAAACACATCTACTTCACAAATATGTTTCTCATATTCATACAGTAGCAGAAGACCAAGTAACTGGGACCAGGCACAATCTTGTCATGACAAAATATTGCAATATATCTTTAGCCCCTAAAAGCAATGCCTGTTCAGCATTCCTGTCAGTTACAAACAGGAGCCTTGCAGTACATACCAGGTGCTCAGGTTGATGTAGGGAGGCTTTAGGATTGCAAACGGGCTGCCTTTTTCCCTTTCTCCTCAACACCTTGCTATGTAGGCACCAGAGAGTACTTGTGTTCAGCAGTGCTAGCCTGCACATTTTATTGCTGTGTAATCTTTTTCCAGTATATTTTTCCTGATTATTATTCTATATTGCCTTCTCTCTGAAGGTCAAAATCCATCCATCATAAGTCTTAGAAGTTCATATCTTCTTCTTAGGTTATTGTGGAAGTTCTGAAATATTTTTCTGATGATGGTAAAATGCTCACATTTATGGCCATTCAGGACTTAAATATAATAACCACTCCAATAATTCCGCTCCCTCCCCCCACAAGCCATGATTTGGTGTTCCAGGTGCAAACCTATAATTGCACAGGAATCTCCAATATTTTGGTCAAAGTTTTTCTCCCCAATAAGTGTTTCTGGATTATTACTATTCTAGACAGCCTCAACTGTGAAGGCTGAAGCCTATCAATGTTCTAAAAGTTCACAGGCTCTTATTAGATTACTGTGGAGATTTTTAAACTTTTTGTTTCCTTTTGTCATTTACCTAAAAGCATACCTTTGATAATCTAAGAATACATCACCCAGGTATGCAGAAAGCTGGCTTTGCTTCTAAACTGACAGGCACTCGACCACTCAAGTACAGAGTGAGGCCACTGACCCCATGGAAACATGCAGCATAATCACTCAGGGTCAGCAGTCTGGGGGTGCTCCTGGACCCCGGCCTGGCCCTGGAAGCCCAGGTGGGCTCGGTGGCCAGGGGTGCCTTTCAGCAACTGCGGAAACTTTTCCAGCTGCGGCCTGGACGAACAGAGTGTCATGACAGTCACACATGCACTGGTAACAACCCATTTAGACTACTGCAGTGTGCTTTACGTGGGGCTGCCTTTGAAGACGATCCAGCGACTACAGATGGTTCAGAATCGAGCTGAACAACTGGTGGGTGGAAGAGCCGTGAGAGACCATATTCAACCAATTCTCACCAAGTTACACTGGCTATCCGTTGCTGCTCGGGCCCAATTCAAAGTGCTTGTTTTGATATATAAAGCCCTAAAAGGCTTGGGCCCTGGATGCTTGAAGGACTGCCTCCTTCCATACGAATCTACCCGGCCACTGAGATCTAGCCAGGGGGCCCTCCTGAAAGAGCCGTCCCTCAGTGAGGTGAGAGGGGTGGCCTGTAGGCGGAGGGCCTTTTCCTCCCAAACAACATCTGACAGGCACCGACGTTACTGACATTTCGGCACCAGGTTAAAACCTTCCTGTTGCGGAAGTTTTTTAATTAAGGGTTTTAATTTTAATTCATAGATTCATGGATCTAGAGTGTTTTTGTGTAGATTGTTTTTGGTTTTTTCTTTATTTTTGTATAGATGTAACTGTATTGATTTTTAGTGTGTCTGTTTTTAACTGTAACTGTATTGATTTTTTAGTGTGTCTGTTTTTAAATAAACTGTTTTAATTGATGTTGGAAGTCGCCCGGAGACTCTTACAGAGTGCGGGCAGCATACAAGTTGAATCAATCAATCAATCAATCAATCAGTCTATCAATCTTTATATCAATCATAGGCCTAGACCTTTGCTACTAGAACAGTGGTTCCCACTCTTGAGTCCCAATATATTCTTAGACTAAAACTCCCAGAAGCCTTTACCACTAGCTTTGCTGGCCAGGATTATTGGGAGCTGTAATCAAAGAGTATCTGAGAACCCAACATTGGGAACCACTGTAGTAGAACAACTTGTGAGTTAGAACTCTAACAAATTGCATCTGAAACCAAACAAGGGACAGAATTGCTGCCAGCACTGAGGAATCATCTGAAGTTTCCTTATGAATTAACTCAGTAAATTGCAAAAGATCTGCTTACTCACAAAACCTCACACATTATACCAATAGCATGTACCCAAAATTCCCACTCCTACAGTCTACAGTCTACAGTCATGTGAAAAAGAAAGCACAACTTTGATTTCTATGGTTTTACATATCAAGACATAATAAAAAAAATCTGGTCATTCGCAGGTCTGAAAATTAGGTAAATATAACCTCACATGAACAACGACACATAACATATGGGAGACAGAAGGTGAGAGGGATACCCCACTCGCTGGAGAGCCGTCCCTTCCCCATATCGAAGATAAGGAGGAGACCCCAGCCAGCACCAGAGCCTACGGCAGAAGCTCAGCAAGGGACAGAAATAGAGGAGCTGACCGAAGAGTTTTTATTTCTCCAATTTTCAGAGCTCGTAGGGACCATGTGGTTTTTATTATGTCCTGATATGTAAAACCATAGAATTCAAAGAGAATGTACTTCCTTTTTCACATGACTGTAGGTGCCTCTTACAACAACCTACAGTGTTTTCTTCTGAACCAAATGTGCAAATCTAGAGCCTCTTATTTCATAGGATGGAAAAGCAGATCTTAGATTTCTGGCAGAATACATTTTTAATAAGCACCCAGTCACAAAGACTTATAAAACCATCTTCTACATCAAGAACTAGATTATCAAGGCAAAGGTTAAATGAGAACCCTTCTTCCCAAAAAGTGAGTCTCTTATGTGAAAATATGTAATGTGTGTAAATGCGACTAATAGACCAAAAAGGGGCACCTCAGATCATCTTTTTAACTGAGGTCCCTTCCTATTGTCCACAAATTTCCTATGATTGTGTCTGAGTGCATGTGTTTGCATACATGGAAATGAGCACTTATTTATGTGAACCTCCATCTAAACTCACAAGACAGCCCAGGCACTAGCTGACAACTTCAATATGCACTACAAGAATTTGGTTAGCTAAAACCCTGTAACTATGATTGGCAAGAGTCCATTGGAAGCCCACCAAAGATTTACCAAATCCATGATAATTAGGACTTGATAACTGTCTGGCTTTGTCTCTTGGCACTGGAATTCTCACTACCTTGGAGAATTTGTCAGGCAAAAGCCTTTGCTTGTTGCCTCTCAGATCACTACTACATTTCAAGTCAACCTTTATTAAAGTAAAGGTTAAACTTACAATATGCACACACTTTCAAATTATTTTCCAATGTTTGCACTAAGAGATCTTTCTTTCCTTCCCCACAGTGAATTTCCATGTTATCTAAATAGTGGTGGAAGCTCTCAGTGCTGAACTTTGGGGATCTGTTTAATACAGAAATAAAAGCAATCTCAGGATGCATGCCTATTTCAACTTACTGACAACTGGAAGACATCCTGATCTTACTGACAGGAACTCTCAAAACTGGGGCAAATGTGAAATATCAGATGACCTCCACCATGGTATTTGATTTATTCTAGCTTTGGTAGTTCTGAATCATTCAGATAAGGCTCCCCATGTAGAATCTTTAATTATAATGTGTCAGCTGGTTGAAACAGGCATGAAGAAAGGCGTGAGGCCAGTTACTCCACATTAAATTAGGATATCTGACTAATTAGAGTTGATGGCAATAGCTGAAGGGAATTGGTGCATTTGTAGATGGTTGGAAAACTATGGCCCTGAAGAGAAAACATTTCCACAGTTGGATGCAGATGCTTCATCTGATACACAGTGGCCCCAGCACGCCGGCTCCTCAGCTGTTTCAGTGGTGACATTTACAGTGCCTCCTGTGCTCCCAAAATGTTTGTGCTTATGCAAAAAGGTACTGATCGCTTTTATTGTTGCAGTAAAGCATGCCAGTA